TAACCAATTTACCAACACAGACCAGATCATTGGGAGCGACGACGACACTGATGACATCTACTGTCATGCTGAAAATATGACACGTCAGAATGCTAATTTGCATCATTTAACATTGGAAGATAATGTTATAGAAGAAGATGAGACTTCGTTTTCGGGTGACCTTGACTTAGGTCCAGCTGTGATTACCTTGAATCGATCGCCGAGAGTTCCTGTCAGGACAATTATCTACAAGGCATCAAGTGTATAAATTAATGTGTGGTTCACAGATAGTTTTAAAACATGATTCTTTCTATATGACATGTATTTTTGTTTAACGGAGGTGATGTGTTTGACTTTGTCGAAACATTACAACTCTGCACATGAAGGACTTGTATGCTTACAGTGATGCAGTATTGCAAGTACTCACTAAGGTTTCTGGATATTAATGTAATAATAATTACAATAGTGGTTCAATATTGTATACATGCACGCTATATATTTGCATGTTTATGGCAACCTGCCATATTTGGATTAGTGAGAGAAACTGCATTCAATTATTTAATCAGGCCACAATCGTTATTACGTAATTCTCAGATGCGGTCGATAGTATTTTGTTTTGTATCTGGTTGTTTGAAGCTCAGTGCCAATGCATGTGACAATATATGTATAAATCATATTGCAGTGGTGAACAAGAATGCCGAATAAATTTACATTTCAAACACATGAACAATAAATGTATTTAGTTAATGTGGTTTAATTGCAGAACACGGCGTCCTTCAAAATATAAACTTGCCTCATTGTTGTACGACAAACGTTTCACATGTCATGGTGATGGAAAGATGTCATCGTTAAATACTTTAGCATTCCTATAAGTACTTTCCATTGTCAATGTTTTCAGCTCTGTTACACTTCACATATCACAACTATTGTTTTCTTACTTTTTATTATACATTTTAATTTGTAAGCGTTTATTAAAGAAATAAATTTGACTTATCGGAAAACTGTTTCAACTAATAGATTGACATATAAAGAGTTTAATCTCGCCATCACCTACACACAGTTTTAAAAATTATGAATTACTATTAGGAAATGGCAGAGTTTTTATACTGCATGTGTATATGACATGGAAAGGCAATTTTGTATCTAATAACAACATCTAAAACTACGTACATGTTTAACACTATAAATTTTACATCCGTACAATATGTGAACTTGTGACATCAAGTTTGATTTGTCACATGCATGTGCCATGTATGTTTCGTCAGCAATTAGTCGTATTAATTGACACCACCACGCTATTCTGTTTCCATGGCAACAATATTGTCAACGTTGCTAATCACATTGTACTTGCACATATATGAATGTTGTGTAATGTAATGAATGTAGCTAATTCAACGGTTCAATTGTGGCTATACGACCTATATGTATTCGTGGTTTCATTCAGTATGTCTATTTTTCAGTCTCTATCGAATATATAAACGCATTACATGGTAAATGTATGTCCCTGCTACTCACTAGTCACATGCCCAAGGCCATTACATACAGTATAATATAACTAGCTAAGTCATTTCGGATGAAAGATCACTCCTCTAATTAAATGTTTAAAATAGATATACATTGTACTGCACGCGTGCAACACAAATAGTATTACCTGGGGTTATCACCAGTGTTCAACGTCTTTCCTCACTCAGGCACGTTCACAAAACCCAGAGCCAACAGTTCTGTCATGTTATTTAGTGAAAATCCATCGTTCTTGCCACGAGGCATTCAATAGAGAATTGTACTAGATGTCTTCTTAGGGTAATAGAAAAAAAAACTGGATGTAAAATAGCACATCTTATTTTTGCAATAAATTTTATCATGATTGTATTTGAAATTTAAAAAGAACAATTCGAAGAATACATACTGAGCTTGGAAATGTGCAAACGCTGTTGATTTCTGGTACATGTACCTACATTTAAGCCTAACATTGTGTGCATTATAGTTAATCATATTTCAGCGAGACCGTAGTGACAGTTGTCACAAGCGATTCATCGTCTGTATGACCAGATATATGACCATATATGAGGCATATGCATATTTGACTGATCACTGAATTTAGTATTTTATGCAGCACATTATAGAGTTGAACTAATTACTCTGTTACTAATTCAAATAAAATCAACTATTCCCCAACAAAAATGATATATGAACCATATGTGGCTCTAAATAAGTCAGCCTATTACGGCTGACTTAATATATCGTACGACAGTCCAGGTAAAGTTGAAGTCACACTTTAGAAATGTTAGCCTAAATATAATTGCATAACTTGAATACAAAACTTTTAAATGCATCTTTGTCAACCAATGCCAGCAGTCGACATGCACTAATGCAGCTAATCATAAGGCGTTTTTAAAGCAGGGGCCAAAACATTTATCACAGTGGAATTGACTTGAATAGATAAATGATTTAGTTACATTTTACAGAAGTAGATATACCATTGAGTCCCTGAATATTTAAACCAATTCTAAATCTAAATACACTATGCACTATAGATCAACGATATTGACAGACAATTCGTTACCTGCTCAATTAATGACGGAAACAGCTTTAGCTTCATTCGTGTTATATTTAAATGAACATCTTACAGATGTTTTATGCTTCAAATTGACATTGTCAGGGATGTAATTTTTTTTCATAAACTTGAATCAGTGCCTCGACTACACAGCGTACCCAGATTATTTTCACCATGTAGCATTGTGGGAGAATTATTGCAGGGTCAAAATAGATATAATTGACACGAACATAAAATATAGAAAATATTTATCTTAATCAAACTGACACATAACGTGTGTATGTCGATTGAAAAATACTGGATCTTCTATTTAAATTTAAGTTATTTACTATCGTGTATTTTATATGCGAGGATTGCA